ACCACAAATGAAACCTATGAGGGGTCTGAATCACGAGTGTCTTTTTTTTGTGCTCTCGGTTCGACTAGTTACCTCGTTGTGGAAGCTGCAGCTGAACACTGAGTACAAATTCCGTTCGACGGTCATGTTGAAGCTTGTCTTTGCAACGGATCGCCTTGGGAGTTTTATTTATCTTTGATATTTATGGCTTGAGTCTTCTCCCGATCCAATGGATGGTACCTCTGTGAGGGGAGACATTATAGCCTTTGATTGAAACATTGCTTGATAACTTCACTCCCTACCTCAAAATTCTGATGGAAGCACGTGATACATACTACATTTACTGTATACGGAATGCTTTCAGTTTCAGGAGAAAAAATGTGGAAAGTAACGAAGGAACAATCATAGAAAATAGTTTGTCAATCAAAATGGGAGTGACATCATATGACATCGTTTCATATAAATTCAAAAAAATAATGTTCAGTATTGTGTCTTCCTTACTGATTCTTTCATTTTATAAGAAATTTTATAAGAAGACTACATTGACGAAAATTCAGAATTATGGATGACAGATATGCTAAATTCCAAATCTCCAGACAATGTTTTACTTCAAACCAACAAGAGTGTGATGTTTGTAGAATGTTTCAGTAACTAACTATGCGTATGCAGTTCATTTTAGAATTGTTTCGTTTCGTTAATGCTAAGACGAGAATAACGAAAGCTCCTTTCTAAATTGTTACTACAAGAACTTGATTTGAATCTCGACATGTTTTCAGTTTTTTTATTGCAGTAGTTCTTAAATCGTTTGAATACAGTCTGAAATTAAATTTTTAAGGTTTTTTTAGCTCAACGAATAATAGAGCTTCATGAGTAGACAAATGATTCTGATTGGAAAAACGGCAATTCCAAAGAGAGCACTGACGTACACAACCATAGAACCAAAATATTCAACATCGTAAATAAGAAATAGTGGTGGATATTTTTCGTTAAAACTTTATATACAGTTTGTGGAAGCTTGAGGAAGCTAATGTATAGCGTAACACGTGTCGAAATTTTGTGAATCACAGTAAACCGTATAAATAAATTTTGAAATGGATATTCAATATTCAATATTCCTCGAAAGTTCTGGAACTGAGAAAGAGGAAAGCAATGATATAATAATTGTCATTTTCAAGAGCACTCTCATAGGTACCGACCATAGAAAGCTAACCAAGAAAGATAACCAAATTGTAGAATAGAACCAATCCTAAGACAAGACCTTTTGCTGAAATTAGTATATACTATTTTGACATCAAAAGTGAGTATAAAAAGAAACCAAAAAAGATAGATACAGAGAAAAATTTACATGTAATTGCGGTAACAGTATATCTTAAAATTAAACCAGTTATGAGTACCTGTGATTGTTTTATACATCATAAACGTTTTTCGACAGTTTTGTTGTTGCAGAGGGTTTCCAGATAAAATATGTAGCCATAACGTAAATACGTTATTAATAATTACGTTTCGAAATTTTCTCATCCTCAGAAAGAAAGAATTATTTTTTCAACTATGACTTTCTCCTCACATTAGAGACTGGTGGGAACGACTTCTATAAGGCAATTCTATCAAACTAATCAACAAGTTTTGAACTTCTTGTCCAGTTGGATTGCTTAAATAATAGCAGATCTATTTTGTAGGATATGAATTTTGAAATGATAACCAAGACGAAGGACGAATATAAGAAACGTAGGTAATAAAATAGGTAGAACCCAAGGGTATCGATAATGATGTGTATCCTGCCGAAAGTCGAAGTCGAAAAGAAAATTGATTTACATGAAGACCAATTTCTTCTCTGAAATTACTAGGAGTGAAAAATGTTAAAGTAGAATAGTTTATTCCTTGAAACACTCTACGTATAGTGTTTGTCAAATATCCAGAAGTTTCATCTGTTTAAATCTCTTTAAACTCTGTTTTTGCGTTAATCAGCTGTCGCCCCCATATGAACAACAACTCTCAGAAGTTGAGAAACTTGTGGGAGCTAAGGACTAACGAGGTCTTACCTTTTAACGTGTGATTCCTAACACGGTTGCAGAATCATCCCAGCTTCAACCAGATGAATTCTCTCGAGAAAAATATCTGGTCGAGGCGGGAATCGAACCCACGGCCTTCCGATCGTGAGTCGGGCGCACTACCACCGCGGCCAATTCCACGACAATTCATTAAAGTATAATATCGAATAAGACGAGAAAATTTGTTCAAATAATGAATTATTCGTAAGAAGTTTTCAGATATAACCATAATGAAGATGAAATGTGTATTGAAGAGATAGTGCTGGATACGTATTGCATATCAACACAGATGGTGGTGCTGGTATTGAATCCATATGATTTTCAGTAAATCCTTACCTTCAAAAGACACGTGTACCAATTTCACAGCTGTTGGATTATCAGTTTGTGGGATAGATCATTTTGAGTGAAGCAAGTTTTGTTAGTTTCAATGGAGAAAAAGAAATTTTGTGTGTTGATAAAGCATTGCTGTTTGGCGAAAAAAAAACTGTTGAAGTCAAGGTTTCGTTTGATGAACATTATTTGGACCGTTGAGTGGTTTGCTATAAAAAAAGCCCAGAAAATAATTTTGAATCAAAGGAAGGTGTTAGACATATCCCACATGAATATTTGGGTAAAAACAATAACTAATTGATGATTCTGAGCAGTGTTTGAAGCTGTTCCATCATAAAAACCCAAATTTATGTGTCGATATGTAAAAATGGATACAATATGGCTCCACAATTCCACACCAGATTCCAAACGATCGTATTCTGAGTGGACTGCACGTGGTGAACTGACTCCAGAACGTGCAAACCGCAACAGTCAAGTCGGCTGGAAAGGTTATGGTGTCAGTATTTTGGGATGCGCATATCTATCGACTATCTTGAAAAGGGAAAAACCATCAACATCAACTATTACATAGCGTCATTAGAGCGTTTGAAGGAAGAAATCGCGGAAAATGGTCTCATTTGAAGAAAAAAATTGCGGTTTTTTACACCGTGTCAAAAGTCAATGAAAACGATGGCAAAATACCATAAATTGGGCTTCGAATTCCATCCGCATCCACCGTATTCTCCAGATCTGTTCCCCAGCAACTTTTTCCAGTTCTCAGACCTCAAGAGAATGCTCTCTGGAAGGAAATTTAGCACCGATGAAGACGTAGTCGTCAAAACTAAGGTCTATTTGGAGGCTAAAGAAAAATCGTACTATAAAAATGATATTGAAAAATTGTATGATCGCTATAATCGTTGTATCGCCTGTGAAGGCAACTATATTAAATAATGGAATAAAATTTTATCAACATTTTTTTTCCTATGTTAGCCTACGAAATTTTAAGCCCAAGGAATGAAAATTGAGAACTGTGGTGAATCTGTTTTTGAAGTGTTTTGCTTGAGATTATCTATATTTGCTCCAGGAGAGACGCATAAGTATTTTGATGAAAAATATTGGGAGAATGTGGATATAATGTTAGAAGCTTCAAGTTTATCAGGAAATTCCAGAGATATTAAAAATTAAAACTATTTTTAGGAAACAAATTCATTGTTATATAATTTTAAAGAATGTTCATCCTAAGGATTATTTGAAACTACAATGTTATTGATTACTCATGACAATCAATGAAAAGAATACATTTTTCANCGGATGAGTCAAAATTGAATTATCAATGGAAATTTTCCCGAATAAAGACTGATTGTATTTGAGGTGGACATTTTCAAAATTAGGCAAAATCATAATGATCTAAGGTCTACATCGCCTTATATAAATTTGAAAGACACGAAAATAAATATCAATAAAAGGTATCATTAATGGAATATATATACAAAGTTACTGGAGAAAAACCTTACCTGTAGTTGTTTTCCATTTTGACAAAATTAGCAGTTGAATTCGAAAAAAAAAACTGCTAGAATCTGATTTTGCTTCAAACAGTTGTCACCCCTCTAAGAACAATAACCCCTCAAGATACGAAACTTGTTAGATCTAAGGGTTAACGAGATCTTACCTTTTAACGTGCGATTTCGAGTACGGGTTGGACGATAAGACAGTGAAAACCGATCGTCCGACCTCTCGGCTCGAACCACCGTTTCACCTGGCGGTCGATTGAATGAGTGAAAGAAACCACTCACGTCAACCCAACCGGCTACGTACTGGATGAAAAAGCCGAAACGCAACTCAAATACACGTCTTCATTTCGATCAGAATATATTCAGTCTCCAGAAGATCTCAAGTTTTTGGTTTACTCTATAATGGGTCCAAATCAATAATAAAACTTTTATATATTCACCGAAATCATTAGAGTTCAATAATTTTTTTTCAAATACCCACATCAACGTAATATACATTTCTGTAAACATCAAAACTTTAAAATCTCAAGGTTTTATAAGTGGCATTTTATTTTATGAAAGATAATCATGGGTACTGAATATGTATAAATGAAAAATATGTAGTTATCTCTTGAATTGAGTGATGACTCAAACTGATGAGAGAATAGTATCACATCTTTCTAAGTATTAGTTATTTATCCATTTAATGATTAAAGTCATTCTTCTATTCTATCATTTATTTTTGTGAGACTTTCAAATACAGAAAAACAGAGAATACAGAACCCCTAAAGTTCTGAAACTTAAATTATAACTGGATTCGAACATTTATTAAAATAGCTAATGCTACCTGAGAATAATATTGATGAACAAAAAACTCAGTTTTACAATAAAAAGTATAACTGTATCACTATTTGGAATTTGTTACAAACAAATTTCAAAAATCAACGGCCTTCAAACACGGAAAATAGTGATTCTGAAAACCTCGACGGCGAAAGCCTTAACTATTTGGTCACCATGAACCTAATTCTAAATAGTTTCGCATCATGGCGATCTAGAATAAACGTCCTAATGGTAAATGACAAAAAACATTAGAAGTTATATTTTTGAAAGGGATACTATGCTTCATTCAGTTTCATTATCTATACCAAAATAAAATTGTTAAAAAACCACTAACCTTTTAACTAGGTCGAATAACTTTCCGCTGAGATGATCATTAAATTTTGCTGCTGCTTTGGTAAACACTGGTTCTTCATTTTCACCCTCATATATGCCTAATATGAGCCCTTTCTGAAAAAATAAATGGTTATTCTTTTCGCCTAAAAATATGAGAATTCGATAATCAGTTCAGTACGAATTTCTCTGCTACATCTAGGAAAAAAATTGTAGAAATTAACTTAAATATTTACCTTCTCTTCACCGCAATCTTCTGAACAAAACTTGCGTATTCCACATATTCTTGGTAGTTTGGATCGAAAACAGTTTATGCCTTTCAGAAATGTTACGGAAGACATGTCTTTCCTTATTTTATATACATATTTTACGTGAAAATTTTGGACAGAAATTGAAAATAGCCAACTTTTGTTTACTGGTTGCCCACGTCACCCACATTCGTTTTTAGAGGACTTATGGTACCTTTTCCTGAAATGACTTGACTGATGACTTTGTCATGTAATCTATCATTAATGTCACTTTTTGTCAAGTACTGATAAAGGGTGTTCGACATTCTACATTTCCTAATTGATATTTCAAAACGATGAATCGTGAAATTATTTCAAGAAAAGTTTGTTGAATTTTTCACTAACATGTTTTCGACTAGTCCTGCTATGAATATTTCTTTCAAATTTGAATCCAAATAAAAACTGTCGATAGAAACAAATATGGAGTATTCAAGTTTTGTATATCGAGAGTTCACAGAAACATTAGAATGAATTTATCATATTCAGTACTCATACATAAAAACTCGGATTCATTGAAATCTTTTATAAAGTTGAAAACGTTATGAATGAAGCAAGTTTGATACAATAATTGTAGACTATTCCAATACATTTTTCAAACTCTCTTCAGTTATACGATTTTAATCATGAAATTATGAACAGTGATAAAGTGAATCCTGTTGAATCTAGTGGAGTAGTCAGAATTATGATAACATTTTCAAAAATTGTTGATGAAATGAGTGAATCTGAGATTTGCCTGATTATGAACATTTTTCGAAATAATATTGAAGTAAATCATTTAGAAACTACGTTTACTATTTAAACGCCAAATAATTTGGAAACAAGAAGAATCCAGTGGTGGCGCCAGATTAAAAAATCTCTAATGTTTTTTTTATTCTTGACATTTCAATATAATTGCAGTTGGTCCTGAAAAAGAAGACTCATTCATGAAATATGAAGTTCTAGTAGCCTTCTCGAAAGTCAACCTGATGAAAAAAATCTAGTCGCTACAGGTTGGGGCATCCCCATTTGCCAATTTTGAATCGTATCAAACCACATTTACAAATATCGTCCACCATCTTTTTATTCTGTATCGACAAAACAATCATAATTTCCTACCCTGAAAATCCTCACATACTAATTTTGAGTCAAATCGGACCATAATTACAAATTTCGTCCGCCGTCTTGGAGCCACCCTATTGTTTTTTGCATTGGCGAACAAATCATAATTTCCGACCCTGAAAACCACCACTCATCTATTTTAAGTCGAATCGGACTATAATTGCAAATCTTATCCGCCATTATGGAGCCGCCATTTATCTTTTTTCCTTAGAAAAATTTTATAATGCATTGTCACCGAATCTATGTCAAATTAGCTTGCAAATGAAGTATCATAATTTGGAATATGAAACAGTTTTTCCCGTGAGAGGGCGCCAAAATAGAAAGGTAGGTAGCGAAAATTGATATGGCCAAATTCCTCACTATTCTATCTTGACCTTGGTATTATACAGGGTGAGGCATCGAAAACGAAACAGATTGGGACATCTTTCTATCATAACCTCATCTGTCATATCTCTCCCCCCACCCCACGGTCATTACCACCCAAACAATTTGAATAGGGAGAATAGTAATTGTGACACATTATTAAAAAGGTAATTTCATAAGGAATTTTTCCAGAAAGAAATCAATACTCTAGAAGAGACTGTGTAATAACTTGATGCAACAGGAGAAGATCCCGAAACCAAATCGCTTAAAGATGAACTTCATTAAAATTCGGTGAGTTTAAAAGATGAACTTCAACAAAATTCGAAGTGCCTAGAGGAGAAGCTTCTGGAAAATTCGAAGAGTTTGGAAGACAAACTTCTAGAAAATACGGAAGGCTTAAAGAAAGAACTTTATTGCGTGGCGAGTCTACTGGCATTTCTTGCTACACCGGAAAATGTAATGGAAAGGTTAGCAGTTCAGGCATTCTTGGACGGACTTCGCGACCAAGAAACGAGGCAAGCCTTGACACCAGCTCATCCCAAACATCTCGTGGGTGCACTGGCAAGCGCTCTGGAGTTTGAGGCTGCAAAACAATCCTGCAAGAGCCAGAGCAAAGTTCGAGCTATCGAAAAAGATGGACAGGTGCCTGCTGATATTGAGGCCACCATCAGAAAAGTAATAAAAGAAGAGAGAAAACAAATAAGATGCTGGAACTGTGGGAAAATTAGGCATGTGCGTAGCAGGAAAACTAGAGGGGGTCGATGAGAAGGGGCAATCGTCGGCCTGTACCCAGCAAGCTCCGGTAAAAAACGCATATATTGCCATTCTCCAACGACAAGACAAAGGCGTTTTCGTAGACGACTTCATCAACAACGAGCCTTGCACCATGCTGATAGATACAGGTGCGATGAGGAGAAGCTTCTGGAAAATTCGAAGAGTTTGGAAGACAAACTTCTAGAAAATACGGAAGGCTTAAAGAAAGAACTTTATTGCGTGGCGAGTCTACTGGCATTTCTTGCTACACCGGAAAATGTAATGGAGAGGTTAGCAGTTCAGGCATTCTTGGACGGACTTCGCGAAAAAGATGGACTATCGAAAAAGATGGACAGGTGCCTGCTGATATTGAGGCCACCATCAGAAAAGTAATAAAAGAAGAGAGAAAACAAATAAGATGCTGGAACTGTGGGAAAATTAGGCATGTGCGTAGCAGGAAAACTAGAGGGGGTCGATGAGAAGGGGCAATCATCAGCCTGTACCCAGCAAGCTCCGGTAAAAAACGCATATATTGCCATTCTCCAACGACAAGACAAAGGCGTTTTCGTAGACGACTTCATCAACAACGAGCCTTGCACCATGCTGATAGATACAGGTGCGATGAGAACCATTCTTGGGCCAACCTGTGCCAAAACACCGGCAAGAATTGAATCGTCCAGTTGGAAGCTACGCATCGCCCTAGGGGAGCCAGCCACTGTACTTGGAGAACTACCCATTGAATTGGTGTTGGGCAGCACTTAATTGAACTAGCGTGCATTGGTGGCGGACATCGAGAACGATGCGATTATTGGATTGGACATAATGCTGCCTGCTGGCTGAAGATGTGTGCGTACCTGAAAAGGCTGAAATCATCCTGGAGGCTCGCTTGGATGGAAGCGCGAGCAGCGGCAAGGTGGTAATGTTCGAGTCCAAGATACATGATGAGAAAATTGGACGAAGAATCGCACTGGGGAAGACCCTGTTGCGTGTTGATAAAGTTGTACCCGTCAGGGTCATGAATGTAAACTACTTTCCCGTGACCTTGAAGAAAGGAACAATGCTGGGGCCCTGTTCGTCTATTTTCTCTGTGATACGGAGTGATCACATTTCGGTTAGCCAAGCCAACCACTTGCCTAAAGATTTGGAGAAGTTGATTGACAATTCCTCCAAGGACATACCACCAACTCACCGATACAAATTGATGGAGTTAGTCAAGAAGTAGCAGAAAATCTTCGATATTGGAGAAGAAAAAGGCGGCAGAACGAATGTGGTTCAGCACAGAATCGACACTGGGAATGCTCGACAAATCCGGCAATCAGCTCGAAGACTTGCTATTGCCCAGAAAGAAGAGGCAGATAAGATAGTCAGCGATATGGAAAAAGAAGAAGTCATTGAACCTTCTGACAACCCCTGGTCTTCCCCACAGTCGTATTAGTAAAGAAGAAGGACGGCTCGACAAGGTTCTGCGTGGATTATCGCCAATCGGCTCAGGATTGTGGCAGTTCACGGTTATGCCATTCGGGCTTTGTAATGCTCCAGCGACCTTCGAGAGGTTGATGTAGACGGTTCTCTAGGGGCTCTCATGGAAGACGTGTCTAGTGTATCTCGACGATATAATCGTGGTCGAAAAATCTTTGAAAAATCTGGAGGAGGTATTCCTGCGTCTGAGGAGTTCTGGATTGAAACTTAGTCCCAAGAAATGCAATCTTTTCCAGAAAAAAGTCCGTTACCTTGGCCACGTTGTCTCTGGGGGAAAGAGTGGCGGTAGACGAACAAAAGACATTCCAAAAGACATACATCAGCTTCGGAACTTCTTTGGTTTATGCACCTACTACCGCAGATATGTGCTGGGGTTTCCCAACATCGCCAAACCATTGACCCGACTCACAGAAGGGCAGATACGGTTCCAGTGGTCTAAGGAATGCCAAGACTTATCCAAGAAGTTGAAAAGAGCTTTGATCAACGCTCCTGTTTTGAGATACAGAGGCCAGCAATGTGGGACTTGGAGCAGTCCTTTCTCAGATCCAGGATGGACAGGAGTAACGTATTGGCTACTTCAGCAAAAGCTCAGTAAACCAGAGCGCAATTATGTGTCACCAGGCGAGAGCTGTTGGCCGTTGTTAAAGGTGTAGAGCATTTCTACGAATACGTGTATGGAAGAAGATTCTTGTTGAGAACGGACCATGCAGCTCTCAAATGGCTTCTGCAGTTAAAGAATCCCGAGGGCCAAGTAGCGTGCTGGATTGAGAGACTTAAAGAATTTGACTTCGAAATAGAACATCAAGCTGGGACTAGCCATAAAAATGCAGATACCCTTTCACGGAGACCATGTCCCGATGACTGCTCTCATTGCCGACGAGCAGAAGAGAAGGAAGCAACTATATAAAAATACAGCTGTAGACGACAACTGGGAGGACCATAAGAAGACCAAGAGATAGACCCAGCTTTTGGTTTAGTCATCGGATGGAAGAAAAGTAATCGAAGAACATCGTGGCAGTAGGTAACAGGTTATTCGCCAAAGGTTTAGTCTTACTGGCCCCAATGGAACACTCTTACCTTGGAAAATGGTTTTCTGAATCGGGTGTTGGGGTCTGAAGATGGTGAAGGAGAAAGGCGCCAGAGAGTGGTACCCAGGAACAGACGACGGGAGGTGCTCAAAGAAATCCATGATGGAATCACTGGAGGACATCTGGGAGTAACGAAGACCCTCCAGAAAGTCAGATAACGGTTTTACTGGGTTAATTGTCAAGCCGACGTCAAGGACTGGTGCAGAAAATGTGGTGTATGTGCTGCCAGTAACGGACCTCGGATACGACTGAAAGCTCCAATGCGCCAATATAACGTGGGTAGTCCCTTTGAGAGAATCGCCATCGACATCGCCGGCCCGTTAGAAATGAATTTGTTTAAGACAGTTAATTCTTTAATTTGTTACAATACATACGAACT